CACCGACACCCATCATTCTGGCATTTTGACCATGAAAGTCCAAAGCGGACATGGAGCCGGCAAGACTTCTCTTCCCAGATGCTGTATATAATCTCTTCCCAAATCTCCATCGCCTCGGAATCTGTATTACTTTCAAACCAGGATCTACCTCAAGTCACTTACCCTTACTACTCAAACACGCACGATGTCCCACCACAAGAAAGACTTCAGGGACAAATACCCAACCCGTCGACGCCACCACTCTTCGAACTTCTATGATGAATACAGAATGGATGCACAGGAATGCCTGATACGGGATGCAGGGGCCGTGAGAGCACCCCCCAGACAACATGATCAGCGGGACCGGAGAAGCCAAGCTGGGCTTTACGAGACCGAGAGATACCGGCCTTTTTCAGAGCGGGACTACATTTACGAAGAAAGATGGCCATGTTACCGGGAGAGATCGGACATCTTTGTGGATGATAGTGGGCACCATCGCAGTCGCAGTCACCACGACAGATATGGGAAGAGAGGCAGGAGGAGGCACTCGATTTCGGGTGATAATGATTGGAGTCAGCCGGCTGTCGCGGCTGCCGGCGCAGGCATCGTCGAAGCTTTCCTGGCAAGACACGACAGGAACAGAACCGCCCGAGTGCTGACTGCAGCAGCGGCAGCCGGAGCCCTCGATGCCATTACGACAAAGAACACTGGAAATCCGGAAAGCAGGGTGGAAAAGATCGTCGGTGCGATTGTTGGTGTTGCAATAGACCGCATCGTCAATAGGCCCCTCAAAAAGCATTGCAAGCGTCGGGCACATCAATAATAACCCGAATTTTGACCAGTACGGATATGAATGAATCATTGCTTCTTAAATAAACCCATTGCTAAAATTCCCATCACTTGAGTCTTGGTTTACAGCGCCAGTCCCTTGAGTGTCCAAACAATTCCTCCTCTGTATTCGAGATGTGAGCGCTGCGTTCTGAGCCTGTTGGCTCAAATCACTGATCAGCTCGACACCATACACACCTGAAATTTGCACCTATGTATGCCACACTCGCTGGCCCTTCTCTGAGAGACTCGGTATGTCTGTAGAGCTAGTTATGTCGACATTCTTTCATTGCCTGCAAGAAACCGGCTGTATGCAACCATATGTATATACACTCTGTTCTCGCGTTGCCCGAGCCGGTGCAATGCCGCCAAAGCTGTGCCGAACAGCCGGCGATGACGGCTTTGCGATTGATATTGAAGACTAAGCAAATATTCTGGGAGGTTAGTTCGTGTATGTCATCGGAGCTGGCCATCATTCCATGTGCCGGTGTTGCCAAGCGATTCGCGGAAATATACAGACGCAATCTAAATGTCGGAGGGAACATCCCCGTCAAGCCGAAAGTATTGCCTTGAACTCACGTCCGGCTCAGCCCAAACAATAATTGGGTGGGTTCCATAGGTAGATACCTTCCGATCACAGACCTACGGACTCTGTTGCGCCGTAGCCATGCATCCAGGCCAGCTGAGAACTCGGGCTAGCCGATAGTCAAGAGCGGTCCCTGGCTCGAACATGTAGGGACAACTCCATGACTTCCACGTTGATTGCACGGTGAAGTATATAAAGGTTGGTCTTCTCGGTCGATACCTGGTTCAAACTTAGTTTACAAGCACAGATTTGGCATATTTTATTAACATGAGGCTTCTCAGCCTTCTAGCTGCCGCTGGCCTCTGCCAGGCCCATACCATATTTGTCTCTCTTGACGCGGATGGTGTCAACAGCGGCATTTCGCAAGGCGTTCGAACCCCCGAATACGACGGCCCCCAAACCGATGTCACTTCTCAGTATATCGCATGTAATGGCCCGCCAAACCCGACCAAGCCGACAGACAAAGTAATCACTGTGACCGCCGGGTCTACGGTCACTGCGATCTGGCGCCACACGTTGACCAGCGGGCCAGACGACGTCATGGACGCCAGCCACAAGGGTCCAACGATCGCCTATCTCAAGAAAGTCAGCGATGCGAAGACCGACACCGGGATCGGAGGCGGCTGGTACAAGATACAAGAAGATGGCTTTAGCAACGGCGTCTGGGGCACTGAGAAGGTTATCAACAACGCGGGGAAGCACAACATCACCATCCCCAAGTGTATTGCGAACGGTCAATACCTTCTCAGGGCGGAAATGATCGCCCTGCACAGCGCCAGCTCATACCCGGGAGCGCAGCTTTACATGGAATGTGCCCAGATCAACGTCGTCGGTGGAACTGCTGCCAAAACACCGTCGACCGTCAGCTTTCCTGGGGCTTACAAGGTGGGACACTGCAATATTGACCCCAAGTCTGTGTGGTATGCTGACTCCATTCTCAGGGGACTGATCCAGGCATCACTCTTAGCATCTACTACCCTCCCGTCACAAACTATGTCATCCCCGGCCCCCAGAAGTTTTCATGCTAATCAACATGATACTGTGCGCCAGCGTGTCATGGTTGACAGTAAGAGATTTTGTGTTAAAGACCGGGAATGGAATCTATGGACGCGACACTGTCATCAAACTAGCCCATGAGCTTTAGTGAGAATCTATAATACGTTTGCAAATGTCAACAACGCAGCTGATTATATCGCAAACCCTCAAACCAATATTCATCCCGCATGTGAAATTCATGAACGCCTCATGTTAGCGCTCGGAAACATCTTTAATGCCAAGGTATTAGACCTTGTACTTACAAGTCAGCTTAGCGACAGTGCATGAACTGTACATAACACTCCTCCCATTAATTCCAACGCACATGAGGTTGGCCTTGTCACCGAAGCCAACAACGGCTCTACTATAAGCAAAAACGGTCGGGCTACCATGAAGATCAATATAAGTGACACTGAGCTCAGCGCTGAGATGGTGTTGTTGCCCTCCGCACCCTGGTTAAAGTCATACAAGTTACGAAACCCTCGTTCTTGCCGGTAGAGACAACATGGGTATTGGTGGGACGGGAGATGGCTATGTTGTGGAGGATACCAGAGTTGGCCGAGATGAAGATCTCGCCGGCTTTGGCTGGGTACACAATGATCGACGGACCTCCTTACCTGAGGTGAGATCGTACTTCTAAACACTGCCAAGGGTACAATCGTAGGGGTCTGTTCCATCCATACAAGCGGACTAGATCACCTTCGCTTTAGGCTGGAGTCTGGCCTTGCGAGAAAAGAACTTCGTAGGCTGGTTGGCGACAAGGGCCTATGTCGCACCGACATAAATACGACGTATACTGGTGAAGTGGTTTTGTCAGCTATTCCGATGGATATTCTCGAGACAGCGCCGTTGAGCGTCTTAGAGGTTTCGTCGGAAGTGACGATTTAAATCCCATGTCAGCTCTGTCAAGCCTGACCTCGAAAACAGGGGCCATGATCTACATTGACTCACATGGATGTCGCAATTGTCAGCGTCACTCTCGGGGCCAGCACGAAAGGTACCCATGGCCTGGAAAGAAGAAATTTTGGAGAAGGCAGTGCCTCATAAACGATGAAAATCAGTACGAAGTTTCACGATTGATGGAATCATGTTCACCGGCGTTTGTGCTCTATGTTTGAGACTATTATAAAGAGGCCGAGTGAGTGGGAGTGATTCTCGTGTCCCATTCGGCGTCTAAGAGTTGCGTCAACCTTCATGGCGGTTCCACTAGCTTTAGAAACATTATAGCAAGTTGCGTCAGTATTCTCTCCCTTTGGATACCCAGTGACCCATAGAAGGCAAATCTTATATGGTAGCTACTGTCGTGAAACCCTTCAGCAGAAACCAATGGCTTCTGTACAAGCTAATAAAGATCATTAGCCTTCCGATCCTGGGGAATATACGTGCCATTTTGCTGACAGAGTTGCTGTCAACTCGTGCAAGCCAAGACGTCTCCGGCTGTGATGATACAGCCAGCTCTTAATACATAATCAGGAATGATATATCGGCGGCAAAATCTTCCTGCTTTCGCGACATGACTGGATGGTTGGCCCAAAAGATGATATCGTGGAAGAGTCCTTCAATTTGACCAGAAAACTTCTGCCTGATGGGAGATCGATAGTCAAGTTTACGCTTGATGTTTTTCCTCTCTCCATTGAATGAGACCATAGTCTTGAAGCTTTGGGTGCCCACATCAAGGAATTGAGTTTGTAGATACACCATGTAATAAGTTATGCAGGCATTAGTAATAAAAAGGGCTCTTTTTCTTCATCTTTGTACAAGTGCTCAATATGAGATACCTGTGCTCTATGAGTCTGACTTCTGGAAAAAGACAACTAGTTACTTCAAGTGATCTCACAAGCCAGCGTGAGCTTCAAGTCCCACAGCTGCCGAGTAAAGCATAGTTATAGTAGTGTTGTTAAGAGCTTCATGTGGGGAAGAGCAGACTATGTGTAGCCATGAATTGCTTCAACAGTGTTCTTCTACCACCTTGCTCATTATCCAAACTGACTATTTTGTCTCGGCTTCAATGGTTTGCTAGATTACTTCACATTGCTATTGCGCAATCCGTCTGATACCTATCGGATTCCTTGGTGCTCCAGGACTCGAGACAGCTCTCAGTATAAAAGACCCTGCACAGGAAGTGGAACTGCTCACTATCTAGGGTGAGATGGTTACTGGCAAGTTGAGTCATGTATCGTTTCAGCACCTCTTTAATTCCATTCTAAGGAGGCTGTTATCACGAGCGATCATGATTTACAGCGTATGCACATGGTGTTGGCTCACGTACTTCTAGGTCATCTCGCTAGACTTGTCGAAAATCTCCATTCGGGCCCATACTTCAATGATTAGTCATTCATTCGTCGGGTGACTGAGAGTTTTCCTGAGCCTGTCCGTGAATGGCTTTATGGTATACCTATACGACTTTAAATGGACCGCTTTAGGACATATACCTTAGTCTATCAATGCCCGAATGCCAGGCATCTGTGCTTGACTACCATCAATACGAAAAATCATGCGATTTCTTTCCCTCAGGTGTTCCAAGAGACAAACTATCGTCAGATTAGGAAAGGCTAGGGACGGTGTGGCTGATACTCCTGAGCTCTGTCAGGGCACTAATGCCGCCAGCACTGATCCCTAATCAGGTAAGACTGGTCGTGTAGTGGGGCCACGACAATCTACTCATCAAGTTTTGGATCACTAGGAAATGTAGTAGGTTATTCCAGTCGGCGCTCGCGGGTGCTTTGTTCACTCGACGACAGGGCCTCGTATAAGTATGCTGTTGATCCCGTGAAGATTGTGTAGAATGGAATGGGTCTTGAGGTCAGGCAAGTGATGACCCTCGCCTGTATTCTCTTCGACTAATCAATCGTTTCAACATGCGTATCTCGTATGCCTTGATCACATTCGTTACCTCAGGGAGCCTAGCTCGCGCTGCCCCTGCCAAAGACCGAACTCAACAACACGCCGAGCACAGGCGCCAGCTGGGTACGAGTGCTGGAAATATTGAAAAGGATGCGACATTCGACTATGTAATTGTTGGCGGTGGCACCGCTGGTCTCGTGATGGCCAACAGGCTGAGCTCCCAGAGCGGAGTCAGCGTGGCTGTCATCGAAGCCGGGACGTTTTATCAAGTCACGAATCCCATCCTCGGTAACACGCCAGCTGGCGATGTGATATTCTCTGGGTCAAGCCCGCTTGATACCAACCCACTCGTTGATTGGAATTTCGTCACACAAGGGCAAGCGGGAGCCAGCAACCGTAAGGTCCACTACGCTCGTGGCAAGTGCCTTGGTGGCAGGTAAGCTCATGGGCCCTCTCCGATATCAGATTTCAAGTTTCTGAAAGAAATCGTATTTCAGTTCTGCTCGTAACTTCATGATATACCAGCGCGGTACAGTCCAGAGCTATCAAAAGTGGGCGGATGCCGTCGGGGATGAGAGCTACACCTGGGACGCGCTCCTCCCGTACTTCAAGAAGAGCGTCAAGTTCACGACACCTAGCTCTTCCCGTTCCCCCAACGCTAGTGCAGAATACAACCCCGGTGCCTTTTCTGCTGCAGGAGAACCACTCGACGTCTCATACGCAAACTATGCCCAGCCTTTCAGCGCTTATCTTGAGCCGTCTTTGAACGAGATCGGGATCTCCCAGGCCCAGGATTTCAACACCGGCAAAGTGATGGGGGCCCAGTACTGCGCTAGCACCATACAGCCCAACTCCCAGAAACGCGAATCTAGCCAGACGTCCTTCCTCGACGAGGCCATTGGCCGCAGCAACTTAAAGGTCTATCAGCTATGTCTTGCCAAGCGAATCCTCTTTAACAATAATAAGAGGGCCACAGGCGTTGTAGCCACCTCCAACTTGGGCCTTGGTACTTTCACTCTCCAAGCCCGCAAGGGGGTCATCTTGTCGGCGGGTGCCTTTCAGAGTCCTCAGCTGCTCATGGTATCGGGCATCGGTCCCAGGGATCAGCTCGAAAAGTTCAATATCCCCGTCGTTGCCGAGCGGGCTGGTGTTGGCATGAATATGGAGGACCATGTCTTCTTTGGTCCCACGTGGCGCGTCAAAGTGCAGACCCTGACCCGTCTCGCCAACGACCTGATATATACAGCGGCTCAGTATGCTGGCCCTTACGCCCTCCTGAAGCAGGGCCCGCTCACCAACCCGATTGCCGATTTCCTTGGTTGGGAAAAGACACCTCGTGACCTCATCTCCGCCGAGGCCGCCGCGGTTCTCGATAACGAGTTCCCCCCAGACTGGCCTGAGATCGAGTACTTGTCCGCTCCAGGCTACGTTGGTGACTTCAACAACCTTCTCACTACCCAGCCCAAGGACGGCTATCAGTATGCCACCATCCTCGGCGCGCTAGTCGCCCCTCTTTCCAGGGGCACTGTCACCCTTGCCTCCGCCGATACCCAAGACCTGCCTCTCATCAACCCCAACTGGCTCACTGATCCGACTGACGTGGCCGTTGCGATCGCGACATTCAAGCGTATGCGCCAGGCGTTCGCTAGCAACTCCATGCGCCCCGTTCTAGCCGATAACAAGGAGTACTTTCCCGGCCCCAAAGTCGAGACGGACGAGCAGATCCTCCAAAATATCCGAAACACCGTCATGACGGTTTGGCACGCTAGCTGCACTTGCCGTATGGGGAAGATAGACGATCCCGTGGCTGTTGTTGATAAGGATGCCAAGGTCATTGGCGTTGATGGGCTTAGGGTCGTGGATGCCAGCAGCTTTGCGTTGCTACCTCCTGGACACCCTCAGAGTACTGTCTATGTCTTCGCCGAGAAAATCTCAGCCGAGATTTTGGCCAGTGCTTAGGCGTTCTACCCCTTGACATCATATCTGTCTACAAGTGATGTTTTCCAAAGTCAACAGGTCACCGTCCCACAGATTGACGGCGTAATGATCCCCAAGGAGCATTGGAAAAGGAGTAGATAGGTGTTAAGTAGTCAGAAGGACTTTTTTCCATGTGACGATTACGCGATGGCTTTGCTGATATTCAAGACTTTACGGCAAGACTTTACCGGAACTTTGGCATGAACGAATATATAGCTACGGTATTTCATCGATTGCGTTTGAACATTTATATTGCTTGCGTGATTGTGGATGACCGTTGAAACTACTGGAATAGTCCGCCAGATCCAGCAATCGGTCCGTTCTCAATGAAGGAGAGAATAAAATGTCTTATCAACTGAACGGCCCACGAACGGACAAGTCAGAGCAGCGGCCGATGGAGCAGTGAATTGGTACTCCCAGGCGCCTAAAGCCGATGAAGGTCAAATCAATTGGTTTGCTTGCAATATTATCTTTTACAGGCTACCGATTTTTCGTGATGAAAACCTTTGTGACCAATTTCCTCAAGACCAACAAGATGTACGAACCTGGCGTGTGTAGAGTTCGCAGGTACAAGATATTTCTGATGGTGTTAGACCGTTACAAAGATGTGCAATTTGCCCAGACTTCAAGTTCTGTCCGTCTTTTGGTCCAAGGCAGGTGTCAATGCCATCTTCAGGGTCAACGTGGTTGGCAATTCATGGTCATAAGACCGCAGGACAGGAAAGACGGCGGCGGCGGGCGCACTGGATGCCCATCACTGCCGGCGTGGAAGACACCTTGTGGCAAACCACTCTACCTAGGGCATAAGAGCTATATCGTAATAAGAAACAAAGCCTAGCGAGAAAGACGGCAACCGGGCGATGCATCTTAACGCAGCGCCGCTTGAGGCCAATTAGATACGACACATCGCGTCCCGCTGATATAAGATACACCCCTAAGATCTACTGTTTCCATGCGGTGTAAGTACACATGGTTGCGGTGCCGAGGGAGTTCTGCATGTTCCGCACCTCATTCATATATCCTGTACATTAGGCGCCAGGTTTCTATGGAACGACTTCAGTCCTGTCATGCAAGTTGGGTTGTAACATGCAGTGCTCAACCGCCAGGCCTTGCTTTAGCTTTATTGCTAACCAATCAGAAAGCAGTATCAGCAACCCCCCCTCGGACCTTATTTCGCCGACTCCCTCAGTTGGAATGCATTGCTATGTTGGTGGCCTTAGTTTTGTTCATCGACGACTATCAAGCCATTCGCGAATGGTTATTCCCGGCATTGCGTGCTCATGCCAAGCATTATTCTTACTTATATCCACACGTAATGTCCCCTAAGACAGTGTAACGACTGGACCATCAGCATAGTGTGGGATGTGGAAGAGTCAGTATCTTGCAGTGCCCCCCTAGCACTCTAGGTACCAGAAATACAACTCGTGATTTGGCGCTTGAGGCGAAAGTATGGCACGAACTGCCTTACATTAGGTGCATGGTAGCACGCATACCTCTCCAGCATACACGGAAATGATGTTCAGGCCAAGACACCCTTGCGTCCTATACTGCTAACCCTTGCCCGGCTATCGGCAACATGCATGATCCGTTCTGCCTAGAATTGCTTAGTATTGCTCACTAGGTAAATCGACATTTCTTTAAGTATACTGAAAGGCCGTTTTCATGGTACCTCTAGACTCTCTCCCGTTCCGCCGTCAATCTCTGTTGAATCTCAAGCTGCAAGTGGGGTTAGCGGCAACAATGCCCTGCTTTTTGACGCCAATCTACCGTTCTGCGATTCTTCGTCCTATACTCAACATGTCAGGTCGCGTTGCCGTTTTCTTCGGAATCTTGTCCTTGGCCGCCTCGGAAGCCATCACGAATATCCTGGAGAGAGATGTGGTGATCCTCGGCGGCGGTGCGTCGGGTGCTCACGCTGCTGTCAGACTTCGTGAGGATTTCAACAAGACGATCGTCGTCATAGAGAAGCAGGACCGTCTTGTAGGTCACCACGCCTCAATAACTATCGGACGTAAACTTATCCTTTCGCAGGGTGGCCATGTCAGTACATTTATTGACCCCGAGACCGGGAACCCCTACGACTTCGGGGTCAACTCGTACACCGATTACGGCGCCGCTCGCGACTTCTTTGCCCGGTTTGATATACCAGTTGCGGCTCCTCAACGTCAAGCCCTGACAACAACCTACGCCGATTTCAACACGGGAAAAGTCACGAATTACTCGTTGCCGGCCTCTGCTGATACCACTGCAGCGCTTGAAGTCTACCTTGAGCTCTGCGAGAAGTATGAGTCCAGCATCATCCCCTCGTATGAGAATTTTCCAACCGTCTCCAAGGGGATTCCCGAGGATCTGACAATGAAATTCTCCGACTTTGTCGAGAAGTACAAGATCCAGGCGGCGGTTCCCCGTATATACCAAGTCTCGGCGCTCGGCATGGAAAACTTCTCCGAATTGCCAACTCTGTACGTCATGCAGGGCTTCGGCGCACCTGTCACACGCTCTTTCCTGGGCATTGTCTCCTCTTTTGTGCCTGTATCCAGGCGAAACCAGGATCTCTACGATGCTATCGCCAGCCTGTTGGGCAGTGACGTCCTCTACTCCACGACTGCTATTCACACTTCTCGCACCGATGAGGGCGTCGAAGTCCTCGTTCACGGGGCCGACGGGAAACGGTCTCTGATCCGCGCGAAGAAACTCCTCATATCCTTCGAGCCCACGATTGCCAATCTAAACGGCATCGATGTCGACAGAGAAGAGGCGGATCTTTTCTCGAAATGGGACTGGTCGACCGTCTACGTCGGCGTCATCTCTCACAAGTCACTACCCAAAGGGTACTCACTTACGAACAATGTACCCAACAATTGGCTGTCATTCCCGAGGATTCCTTTCGTCAGTCGCTTTGACTACTTAGGCGACGACGACTTCCGTGTCCTTGTAACTGGTCCTCCTGATTTCGACACATCCAAAGCTCGGCTGCTGGTTCGGAAATCCCTCGCATCACTCGCTGCTGCTGGGACGATACCAAGCTTGGGTACGGAGGAAATCGATTTCAAGGCCTGGTCGGATCATGGCCCTATGCATATTCATGTCTCTTCTCCGGAGCTGAAAGCTGGGCATATCACCAAGCAGTATGCACTGCAAGGCCGCAAGAGTACCTACTACACGGGGGCTGCGTGGTCAGTGCAGTTTACGACTATCCTCTGGGAGTACAACAATCAATACGTTCTTCCCAAACTGCTTGCGGGCCTTTGAATCGGAGGGGGGGTAATAGACAGGGATGATGATGATGATGATGACTTTCTTTGCAAGCTGCGATGGAGCTCCTAGTGCAAATCAAGATGGAAGAATCGAAGGAACGTATATTGGTTGAATGGGATGCTGTAGATGCAAGGCAGCGACTATCATTCTTCTTGTTTGAACAGCTATGCTAGATAGTTACAGACAGCACCAAGAAACAACGTACGGCAAAGACGCCAATGGCATATGCCAACTTTTTCTTTGCGTCCTCCACGAAACCTCTGCTCGCTTTTGCTCACCTTCGGCTCAAGTCAAAGCGGCCATAGATCCGTCCCCACATCCAATGAGGATGTAGGGCGAAGTTCCTGTCGGATCCTTCCGGTGTCACTGTTCAATCGGGTGCAGCGGGACGACATTGGTAGATATGTACATTACGATACATACAACTAGCATTTCTAACATATTGACTAGAGGCACACAAGATATTTGTACAAGAAGCAGTAGCCCATGATTAGTCTGACATGATAGCCTTGTAGTCCCTGATCAGCCGTCGGACGCTCGGGTCAGAAGCGTCGGCTTTCTGAGCAGTGGCTTGCTGAGACTGATCGGATACACAAGTCCAGCTATCGGGAGAGTTGGGGTCTCCGGACTTGTACACATTGCGCGCGGGGTACTTGCAGTGCCTCCGCGTGAAGGCGACCTCACCGCCCTGTGTTCCATTGACATATGCAGTTCCGAGAATCGAGTCCGGGGCGACACCCTCTTCGACCCACCGGACGATGGCCGAGAGAACGTTGTTTTCGGGGTCAAAGTTCGCGACGGTCCTCGCCTGGTTGCCGATGAAGGTCGCACCGGGGCCGCCGCTGCAGTGGCTCATGCCGGAGATGCGGAAGTACCGGTAGAACTCGTCCAGCTGATCCGAGGTGAGACCCATGGTTCTCGAAACGAAGTTGTAGTAGCGCGCAGAGTTGTCACTGCTGATGATGGGGTCCTGGAGTCCGTGGTAGTGCAGGATCTTGGCGCCGCGGTCCTTTACGGCGGAGAGGTCGCCCTTCCAGGTCTCAATACCGCCAGGGTCCTGTCTCGCAGCTGCGGCGAAGTCCTTGGGGCCGAGGGTGGCCGGGTTCCAGTTGCTGTCGTTGTAAATAACGTTTACGAACCAGTCCACCGTGTACGGGAACGGTTGACCGTTGAGCAAAAGGGATGTGGCCTGGGCGCCGGGCTGGAGACGGGGGTAGACAAAAGCTCCGTTCTCGCCGTAGAGGTCGCCGAAGACGGAACGGACCGTCTGGGCCTGCGTTCCGGTTAAGCAGTTTGTCGTCTGGTTGGCACCGCAGATGAGGGACTCCGGACGGTACTGGCACAGGTCCGGGTCCTCGATGATACCATCAACCTGGCCGTCAAGGCCATCGCACTGAGCCAGGACGTCTTTGTAAACAAGGTCCCACAGGTCGGCAGACAAGAAGGTCGACGAGTTTGAGGTACCAGTAGCGGTGAAGAAATGACCGCTCCAAGAGGTGAGGTTGTTAAAGGCCATAGCGGGCGCGCCGGCCACAATGCCATCAAAGTCATCAGGGAAGTCCTGGGCCTCCTTGAAGCCCTGTCTGCCGCCGGTCGAGCATCCCAGGTAGTAGGACTTGGTGTGTTCCTTGCCGTAAAAGGCCTTTGTGACCTCCTTTCCGAGGACGACTCCGGTGTGCATGGAACGCCAGGCAAAGTCCTCGACGACGCCGGGGTTGTTGAGGAACGGCGCCCCAACGGTGCCGTTATGTCCGTTGTTGGCGCCGACAGCGGCGAAACCGCGCGACGCGGCGTAGTTGAGGTCTTCGTACTGGATGCAACCGCCGGTTCCTCCGTTGCCGGTGCTCAGGAAACGCCCTGTCCAGTTGGACGGAAGCCAGGCCTCGAGAGAGATGTTACTCGTAGGCCCGGTGACAGCCAGCATTGATATGCGGCAGATGTCAACGTCGACGACTTGGCTGGGACGGGCGCAAGTAGGGTGGTTCTCCGGGAAGCTAAGGGTTGTGCCGGCAGGGACGGCGGTGGAGAACCAGACTGTGGTGTTTGGCAACTTGAGCGTGCTGGCCATGGCACTGCAGTCGTCGGCGAGGGCACCCATGACATACTGTGCCGCTGGCGCAAGCAGCATCGCGGAGAGGTTGAGTGACTTCATGGCGGAGGATTAACAGTGAAGTGAAAAGGGTTGCAAGTCCATAGAGTCAGCTAGGCGTGTTTCGCAGCTCGAGAAGTTGGCCTGGTCGGGTTCTTATACTGGGCCGGTGGTGATCTTTGAAGAGCCCAACGGTCGTCTCGGTCGAATGTCGGATGTAACCCCCAGGTCGAACATAGTAAGCAGGCGTCTGTCCGTCTTCACAGCCCTCTCGTCGATCACGCTGACGAGTCGCGTGGTACTATTACAGCTCGGCGAGTTGGCACGGCAGTTAGTGGCGGCAAGGCGGGCATGGAAACACGCCCCGACTCAAAGGTGGCACCCAGGAGTTACAACACACCTAGAGCGCTGCCGAGTATCCATGGTGTTCTCCCCACTACCCGAAGGGTCTGGTCCGTCTCCAGGGGGTTCCCATGCATCGGCATTGGCGAATGCGGAGAAATGGGCCGGGTTGGAACTCAGAGCTGCTGCTACACATGGTAGAGGGTGATGGTGGAGGCAAAACCTTCTTCCGGTCGGCGGGCAAGACTCATTAGACGTCCTGCCTGGCAGCTTTTGCCCCTTAATCAGTATATAGCATAGACGTCGTCCTTCTTAATAGGGAACCATCGCCGTGATGAAGTGAGAGCGGCTCGGCTTACCCGTCAACACAACTCTCAAGTGCATACAGCATACAACCCTTGCCAGGAGTGAATGCAACCCAACCTTTGTCAGGAAACACCACGAGAGGAGAGGAGATTCAGGGCAACAATTGCTGCTAGTCGAGAAGAAGAAAGAAAAGCGGAGCTGCTGTTGATCATTGCGGAGATTGGATCAATACCGGTAGGGGTAATAGATTTCCCGCATTTCCCCGGCTTCTACGTGCGGGGAGACGGCCAGATTTGGACAGGAACCGGGTCGTATGCGGAGAGTGTAACGCTCCATGTTGTTCGGACAGAAAGAAACACTGCCGTCGAGACATTGTCATTATCATCACGACGAGAGAAGTTCACGAGCTTCCTGCTTCTCACGAGAGAATCGTCTGGCGTGCTGCAAGGGTCCCGCTTACAACGCCGGAACTTTTCCGGCCTTGGGATCCAGAAAAGTTTGATGTTTCAGAAGTCGAAACAGCATGTAACGCCCAGAGACTGAGAGGTGGACTGAGAGGTGGACTGGGAGTGGGCGGTTCGTGTGCCTCTCAGATCCCCAGCCAGCATCACCCATGTCCCAGAACACCAAACTCGCCTTGACCGTTGAGGATGGTCCCGCATTGTAGGTCTCATCTCTTCCCTAGCCCTACTGGCGACTTGTTTTCTGTCAGTCGTTCCTCTGCTTGTTGAGTCCTCATCGCGCGGGTGCACAGACAACCTATATTTGGTTTGTCAGAACTATTAGTTCTCGCAATGCTACCTGACGAGTCTGACAACGGGCCACAGGCTGCGTGCGGCCTTACTACCGGTATGTTATGTGTCTCCGGTGTCACGCCGATGCCGCCGGTCCCAGCGTGTCATCGCAAGGTCGCACGTGTGACACATTATCCACCGCACGAAGCCACGCCTCCGCACATCGTCATATCCGTACACGTATACCTCGACGCCACCGTGCAGGGAACGGCAGGTTATTGCCTGGCTTTTGCGCCTTCGCTGCTGAACATGGACGCGGAAAACCCCATTCTGCTCTCCCACATCACGACGGTGTCGCGAGAGACTCTCAAGACTGCCACGGTTCCGGATTCCACATGCCGCGGAGTGGTCCACGTCGGCATCTGCATAACAATACTTGCTTTTCAACAATCTCATAATGGCGCAGTTCATCTTACCATGGTCACATCGTTCGACTGATGTATGTAGATTAGGTACCTAGAATGCGTTCCCCAATCTCGATGACGTGGCCTAGACACTTTGATAGAGCGACCAAAAAAAGCAACATGGATGGATGCGGCCCGGGCCTCCGGCGCTAAACCATCGTGGAGCTCAGCACGCCCGCATGCTGCTGCTTGCTGATCCGTTGCGAAGACTGGACGCCGTCGACGCATCTCAGATGCGCTAGCTTGGGTGTGTGTGTGTGTGTGTGTGTGTGTGTGTGTGGCCTTTAGCTTGGTTTAAGCTCTTCATGCTGTGGCCGTCAAACGGCCCAAAGTACAAGCTTTATTTAAGCTTCCAATCGAGCAAGCTACTGTCGGATCTCGCTATCGAACTCTGATTTCTGACATGTCTTTTGGCCTCCCTACATAAGCTCTCGAATTGCATATTGTGAGACGCTTCTTAGGAGCGAATAGCCTCCAAATAAGTGCTGCGTGTTGATTCATTGGCCAGAGTTGGGTACCAATGATTCTCTGCAGCAATGATGATACCGTTCAGAAGATGTTTCTCCGTATAATACCCATTGCATGGACCATCGTGAGCTGTGCCTAACAGAGCAATTGCGCATCCCATCATGAGTGTCTCTCTGCCGGCTAGCGGTCGTGGCGATCGCGCACATTCTCGTAGCACCCACTGACTTGCGACGAACCTAGTGTCAAGACTGCCGAGATTTTACCGGTCCTCAGCATGGTCGAAGAGGAGCTGTCCCAGATATTTTGACCGACGGCGAGGGTGAGCTAGGCAGGCAGCTTCATTATACATCAAGCTCACAAACACACCTACCTCTCAAGAATAGCGTTAGGTCTCTCTGCTATCGACCGTTATCTCGAATTGTTGTCTGCATCTCGGCGCTCGTCTTCCTCGGTCCCAAGCTCGACCGCAAGCCGGGATGACTTAGGGTCACCGTACACTACCTTATACAAGCCATGACCACTGCTAAAGTTCTACGTACTAGCCTCTAGCTAGTACGTTGCCTGATGCGTTGGCTTTCTCCCCGGCGTCGC